ATGCTAACATGGGTCTCACCCTGAACATCTGCAAGATGAAGGCCTTTCTTCAACCTGACCTGGCATTGTGGAGCAAACCCCCAATAATTCAAGGCTCACAGGGAGGCCTTAGAGAACATTGGTCATTTCCAATATCTTGGAAGTGACCTGTCAGCCAAAGCAGCTATTAAAGAGATCCAGCATGGCCTCTAGTGTGCTAGTGCATCCTTCGGCCGCCTGAGGAAAAGAGTGTTCGAGAACAACAACATCAGACCTGACACCATGATCATGTTTTACAGAGCTGTGGTGGTTCCTGCCCTCCTATATGGCTCTGAGATGTGGACTGTCTACAGCAGACACCTCAAGGTCCTGGAGCAGTACCACCAGTGCTGCTTGTGCAAGAGCCTGTGAATCCACTGGGAAGAAAGACACACCAACGCTAGCGTCCTCAACCAGGCCAACATCCCCTGCTTTGAGGTGTTGACTACTCTTGATCGACTATGATGAGCTTGGCATATTGTCTGCATGACTGATGAGAGACTCCTCAAGCACATGCTGTACTCCCAGCTTCAAAACAGCAGGCAAGTCCCAGGCGGACGGAGGAAGTGCTTCAATGATACCCTCAAGGCCTCACCGACATTCCCAAAGACACCTGGGAATTACTGGCCCAAGACCTTCCAAAGTGGAGAAGGAACATCAGAGAAGATGTCAAGCACCTCGAGACTTGCCATCAGGGAAAAAATGGAAGCCAAAGGAGTGCATTGCCACACCAATGCCCCATCCACCCCTTCCTGTGACCTTCGCTTGCCCCAAGTGTAACAGCCACCTACGGACTCACCCTGAGAGTGCAAGTGAGTCATGAGGAACTGTGATGATGATTCTAAATTTAAAAATTAGTAGTAGACATTGTAATTTAGTGTATGATTTCAGTACACACTTGCAGTGTTTTGTAAGATTGGTAAATGGAAAAGCATAGTGTTTTCTTTGTTATTGGGACAGGGGCTTCAGTCCCTTTTATTAGTGGTGGATATTTGAAATAAATTACACATGAGAAACATTTATCTGGATTGCAGTTATATTTGATTTCTACTAAAATTAGAACTTCTCTAAAAGGTGTAGTTGTAGCCATACCTGTGCTTACTCACTGATTTTCTTTTGAGAGTACTGGCTTATTATTAGCACTTGTCGATCAGGTTTGGTAAAATATGCTACTAAACAATCTGCACTCTGTTAAACTTCTACCTGAGCAATGTGTGCTAGTGAAAATAAGACAAAATATTACAGGAATTAATTATAAATTAAACTAGTTATGCTATATTCCTCTGCTTCATAAGCGAAAAGCTGCTCTTGTCCTGTTAAATACCTTTAATAGTTATCCGTTATACATACTGTGATGTGCATGTGTATCACACTTTACACTTTACAAAGCTGTCACTTTGATTTTGAATATAGTCATATCATCATCTGCTGTCAAATGGTTAACTGAAGAATATCAAAATGATGGATTCAGTGGTGTTTCAGAATTAATGAATTTTAACCATTGGAGAATTTTTTGATAGAGTTTACTTAAGAAATAGGGCTTTCTACAAGAAAAGTAGTCTTTGTTTTCTTCTTAATTGGATTGAGATTAGGTGACAAATCCACAAGGCATTTGGGACTTTACGGATTAATGTGCCCACTACCTTGTGATGCATTGTAAAGTTGAAGGATGAGGAAAGAAACCCTGACACAAAATTGGTAGTGGAGTTCAAAGACTGTAGTGTCTAAATATGTTACTTCACTGCAACCCTACAACCAAACTATGCATTCCCTTCAAATCCGAGCAGGACCGTAACATTTGAAGAGACTGAAGTCGCCATAAATTTTGCTGAGACTTGCAATCTGGAGAAGACACGCCAGTTTTTCGAGTGATGGCAGTCATGGGTGATTAAATTCCACTTATTGATTGAAAATAGATGCCACTTGTTGACTCTGGAAGGTACCAGGCATCCAGTTGACCACTCACTGGCCTTTTTTTAATGCACTTGTGCTAGCCAGCATTTATAACCCATCTCTCATTGCCCATGAGAAGATGGTGGTGAGCTGTCTTCTTGAACTGCAGTCCCTATGCTGTAGCTAGACCCACAATGCCACCTCCAGTCAGACAGCCCCAAATAGTAAATGCTGACCTGCCATAGTCTACCCACCTCTTAGTTGGGTGATAAAATTTTTAAGTCTCTACTTAATCTGATTAAATCCTTTGCACCAGGTAAATAAGATGAACAGAAAGAAAGAAGCTGCTTGTGCTGCGATTGGCAATCTGGAACATTAGGACAATGTTCATAAAAGTAACGGCTGACTTACAATGGTCAATAACGCTTGTAGACAACTAAGCTTGATAGGCTGAATGTTGACATCTTTCCTACAAGAAAATAAATTCACTGAAAGTGGGTCCTATACATCTGGCTGGGAAAGAGTTCAGAAAAAATGTATGAGCAGGGTGTGGGCTTTGCTGCTATCAACAGAATTGCTAAGTTAGAACATATTTACAGCAAACTTTGTTTCAACTGGCAGTCTTGATAAACTGGCAAAAATGGAAAATCTCAAAAGCCGCAAGCTACTGTGATATCTGAGTATTTACGCTGTAAATAAAGTATAGTCGTGATGTGCATACCCCCGCATAATGTTTCATTTACTTTGTGTTTTTACATTGATTTTAGGAGGTTTGTTGATGTTTTTACATAGATTTTTTGAGGGATGTTGATGTCTTGAAATTTCACTTGGTCAGCTTTTACTGTGGTTACGCGTACCTCTTGACTATGCAGAATATTTGATCAACCGGCACACTCCTGGTCCCAGAGGTGTTGGTTAGTAAAAAGTTTGCTGTATTTACTTGGGAATTGAAACACGAGTGGATGTTTACCAGGAGGTGTAGTCCTCCTGCTTTGAATATTACGTGGCTTAAGAAGGATAGCTGAGTATTGTCAGATACTGCTTGATCTTTACTACTGCCGTGTGTGTAGCCAACACTGCCTTTTAGAACAGTCCATGCTACAAGGTGCCCTGAAGACATCCACGATCAGGACATTGGTACCAACTTAGCCAGCTCATCACCAGATATAACTTTCAACAGCATTCTTAATAAAGAGACCACAGCGCTATGATAAAGATCACTCTTGGTACCAGAGTTGGAATGCAATCATTGAAGGTGTTTCATTCAATGCAGAAAGTCCATTCTCCAATCAACTTCAGCCTTATTACCAATCGAGAAAAGAACTGATAATTCTGCAGTTTGACTGAACAGACACTGCAGCATTTAGATGTGAAAGGGAACATGCTTTGAGACATTATTTATAATACCATTCCATCAAAACAGGAGAAGCAAGAGCTGAAAATTTGTTGACAGGTTTGAGGCTACCATCTCTGTAATGGAGATAAAATTCTGAAGTGATTGGAACTGTGTGGACCTCATTGACTACAAGGTCCTTGATTGGGGTTGTTACCCTGGGCCAATCAGGAGGTACTGGGTGACTTACCTTGGCTGAGCAAGAAAGCTTCTCACTGTTATGCATTTCTTCGATAGTTGAGACTGCACTGACTCAAGTGGCTAACTCTGCTGAGAACAACGGGGACAGTTATAGTCATGTTTGTTAACCTGGGCCAATCAGGAGTCCTGGGTGACCAATATTAACAGAGGATTTAGAATCTCCTCAGTTGAGGGGACTGACTCTGAGCTGGCTGGCCACAGTCAGTGTGCTGTGCACAAGTAAATAAAGGGTGACTCGGTGACGGGATGCTGGCCTCTGTGCATTTATTTCACATTCAGAACTGATGAAGGAACATCGTGACCTGAAAAGTTCATTCTTTTTCTCCACAGATGCTGTCTGACCAGATGAATGTTTTCAGCACTTTGGTTTTTTTCACCAATTTTTCCAGTATTTGCACTACTTGCTTCATATCACTAAAATAGAATAACAAAGTTAAATGATCTGCTCTCACTTTTTATTATAAAAGTGTTCCAGAAGAGATGAGTTATTAATGTACTATGAGCCGCTCAAAGTAAAATCCAACAGACTGTCAGTTGCTATACCAGAATTTCCAGATATCATTTGACACAAGGAATACTAAGGGCATGAATGATGGGATCAAAAAGATGATAGATCCATCAACCAATCAGTTCCACTCAAAACAAAGGAAAGGAGATCATCCCTGACTACAATAAACGTTTGGAGAGATGGGTGGAACACTACCTTGAATCGTGAATGTGGTTAGTGAGGCAGGTTTGCATGCCACTTAGAGCCTGCCTAACATTGAAGAGCTAGATAATGAACGGCTTTTGGAGGAACTTGATAGAGTCACTGATTTGTTGCCATCGGCGCAAAGCACAAGGTGTGGATGCCATGCTACCTGAAACAATCATACTCAGAAAATTGGCGTTCCTGCAACATCTGCACAAATATGTGTCTGCTGGATGGACGAGAAGTGCCTTAGAATATGCCATGGGGAAAAAGTATTTGCCCATGTTGCTCTTCTTAGATTTGCAGATCCTGGATGAACACATCTATCCTGAATCCTGTGGCTTCAGAACTGGAAGATCCACAATTGACAAAATTGCTCAGTCCAGCAACTGTAAGAGAAATGCGATGAAGGATGAACCTGACTATAATAGCCCCCATTGTTCTCATCAGAGTTAGCCACTTGGGTCAGTGCAGTCTCAACTATCAAAGAAATGCATAACAGTGAGAAGCTTCCTTGCTCGGCCAGGGTAAGTGCCTCCATCTTCTCCCTGCTGCCTCACACTCGCTCTGTCTCTGCTGCTGCACCTGTCTCCCACCAAGGTTCATGGTTCACCATTCATACCATTGCATGCATTATCTTCTCTTGCTTGCTCTCAGCCACCCAATCCTTCTAAACCTGCATGGCCACAGCACTGTCTACTCATTCACTTGAGACACTGTACCACCTTTCCTGACCTGCACCAGCACTAACAACTGTGCCAGTCACTTTCATCACTTGCAATTCTTCCCTTTCTCTCATTCCAGGAGAAAAAAGGCCATAAAATGGCAGAAAGAACCAAGACAGGTGGTGGAATGTTGGCAATTGATTCCTCATCCCCAGCGATCATTGGAGCCTGGCCCATTTCAGCAATGTCCGAGACCAGTCCTATAGAGGTGCTGAAACCTTTGTTCATTGTTCATCTTGCATTGCTGCCACTAAGAATGCATTCTTAATATGCCAGAATTTGTTTGCGACAGTTTTTGTTTCTTTTGTCTTCTGCAGGCATGAATGGCATCATCATGGTCTCTGCTGTTAACAGACCTGCTGTGCAAGACATCACCTGCTCTACCTCTGAGGAAGAGAGCATGGCTGTCTCAGAGAATGCCCTGACAAGGTTGCCCCCAATTACCACTACTGCTCCCCCCACCCCAGAATAAAACAAAACAGCTCAGATACTGACACTTTGGTGGGAATGTTAGCTAGAATGCAGTCAGGTGCACGTGCTAATGAGCATATCACTGTCAAGTCTTCACATAGCTAAGGAAGAAATGCACCACGTTGCTGGCACTCTGGGGACTGTTTGGAGACCAAGCTGTTGTGCAGCCCCAGGCCATTTGTGGCTTCATTGAGATACACACACAAGCAGATGCAGGAGCAGTAGGCAAGTTGTCAGCGGCACCGGATACCCTTGATGGTTAGGTTACAGGACTGCAGCAGTGGTGTTGGAACCCTGCTGCTTCTGCATGCGAGTGGCTCACTGCATGGACAGGTTGGTGACTGCCATAGAGTGCCGAGTCCAGTACAATACCTGCTGGATATATATGCACGTTTACACTCCACCACTCCAGAGAGTAACTGGCCATCAAGGTGGGATTTTCTAAAGTGGACCCAGATAATGTTGGAAAATGTGCCAGAACCTCCTGACAAGTAACAAACTGATGCCGCTTCAGCAAGAATTGGGTTGATCAGAGAAAATGAAGAACAGAAGGAAGAATCAAAAGCAACTAACATTGTAGCACCTGTCTGAGGTTTTCAAGCTAATTGGAGAGCTAAAACTTCTCAAAGATAAACTTCATTTCAAAGAGGGATCATTTTAAAGTTCAGCAGGGAGAATAAAAGTTTTACCACTTGTTGCACGGGTCTTTACCAAGAAGAGCACAAGGTATAACCATTCATTCAAGCATTCTACGAACATTCAAAAGTGAGACAGAAGAAAATCCACCTTACTAATTGTCACTATTAACTGTTCTTGTGAATTGTGTGGATTGTGTTATAGAACATAGGTAATAGGAGTAGGATTAGGCCATCCAGCGTATCGAGTCTGCTGTGCCATTCAAACAGAGCATGGCTGATCATGTACCATTATGCCATTTTTTCACTACAATCTCCATTTATAAACGTGTTTGTTATTAGCAAGTGATGTGCATTTAGGTTACATTTTGGGGCTGAAAATGTTTACTTGGGAATGCATGTCCAATTTTTTGCATATAATTAAATGGGATTAAATTAATGGCAAAATAAATGGGAAACCTTGGAGATAGTAAGAACTGCAGATGCTTAAGTCAGAGACAACACAGTGTGGAGCTGGAGGAACACAGCAGGCCAGGCAGCATCAGAGGAGCCGGGCAGTTGACATTTTGGGTCAGGACCCTTCTTTCCTGCTCCTCTGATGCTGCCTGGCCTGCTGTGTTCCTCCAGCT